TTGGCCAGTGTTTTACTAAGTCCCAGCTACAGTTTTTGCTGCCTTTCCCAAGATGTGTGCAGAGGCATAACAGCAGATAAGCCAACTGCTCTTTCTCTGAAATTTCACCTTTTTATTACTGTCATGGTACAGTGGCTGCTGGCAGTGCAGCAAAACAAAATTTGTACTCTGTGCTGGTTGCGGTAACTTGGCCTGATATGCACTGCGAACCTTAATTGAAAATGAGTATCTTACGTCCTGAATTTCACGTCATGTAACACCCAGCATTGAATAAATGGTGTCTTCAGAGTGACTGGTCACAAGGGACTACTTTATGACTAAGGATTACCAATGTAAAAAAAGATTATTGGCTTAGGTCTATTGTACTTGTGTCAGAGTTAGTCATTCAAAGCCTAAATATGTAAAGAACAAAATGCAGAGGCAGAAATGGAGATACAGAATCACATATCCAGAGAACTAGCTCTGCATCTGATCAACTATGTACTCTACAGGGCTGTGTAGAATATGGTATTTAGCTATGAAAAGAAATCAAATTGAACAATGCAGCTGTGTTTTTTGCTTTTTGAGACATGGGCTTCCTTCCAGTAAAATATCAAGATGTTAATTTAAGTGTGATGAATCTTTAAAAATGGCAGCATAAAATAGTCAATGGTACACACTGAAGGGGCGTATCTTCAGCAGCAGAAGACAATGCCAAGAAACTTTATGAGAAGCACAGATCAAAGATAGGAAGAGACATTAGAACAGATAAAGGAAACCTATAAAAATATTTCCAAAATAGTTGCTAAATACTGGACTTAGGAAAGCTATAGATGCTGAATGGACTTCTTAATTATGAATAATAGAATAAAACTACTTAAAAGCTACCAATTAGACTTCAAATACTAACTGCAACTTTCAGTTCCTGACACTGTAATAATTTCATTAGCTGAACAGGGTGATGAAGGCAGGCTAGTTTCTGGTTTTGACAGTACATTTGACTTAAGAACTCTATTTTGGTGATCATACAAAACAAGTACAAGTATTTGTACTGAATCTACTGAACAGATTCAGATGAAACATTTTGGTACAGCATAACAGCCAGGCAAAAGCGATGCCTCCTTTTTTCAAACTAGCTCAGTAGCTAGGGCACCCTTTCCCACAACATAGAAAGCCACTTTCAGTTCTCAATAAATGGTCAGTGAATCATCTCCAAATTAACACAGACTGTCTTTGAGTTATTTTTGAGGAGGAGAAGCTCAGAATACAGTATTTAATTCATCTGCCTGGATCTGCTTACAAACTTATCAGTGAAGAGATTGCAGAATAGACTGAAAGCAGCACACCCTTCAGGTAACATGTAAGGTTAGATCACCTTCCTTTTCTACAAAACATGCAGGCTCAGACTAAAAGAGAACCACAGCCAAGTTCTCATGACGTAATGAGCAGCAACTGTTAGAAAACAGTTTGGAAATGATATCAATTCCTTGCATCTCCCTGTCTGGCAAGGATGCTTAGAAGAAGTCCATAGCTTCCATTACTTTTGTTTCATTTGTACTACTGTACAATGAAATAAACCATGTAAAACTGCTCAAACCAGCAATACCTAATTCATTCTTAAATAATTGTTCTTCAATTTTTTGATTTATTTATTGAGTCAAAAGTGAATCTTTTTTATTTCTACTGAAGTCATTACTAAAGTAATGCTGTAGCTGTGTTGGGTGTAGGCATTCACCATTTATTTGCCAATTTGTACAAAAATTCCTAGTAAAACTAAACGCTAATCTCATTGGGATTTTAGCATATCTTTGAAAGCAGCATTTTAAATGTACTCAGTTGTTCTCCAGAACAATAGTATTTCCTCTCTGAAAATCAGAAGCCAGGGATCATAGCTGAACAGTTATTCACTGCACCAAAACAAGACCATATCTGATGGCCATTATCCTGAAAGTGCTGTTTTGTTTAAGTGAATGGATCCTATGTCTTCAATTTAAGCTTGTTTAAAATTTTTTGGAAAACACTCTTTAAAAACTCATTTTCATGAGCTATTATATGCTCAGATGGGAGTTTATTACTAGGATAACACATTTTCAACCAATTTCATTCAAAATTATAGAATTTATTTATTTATTTTTTTAATCTGGTGAAGATAAGGACTATTGCCCTCTGCAGAGGAAGCTTCTAATCTAGTATAGAAAAAGGCCAAAAAGGTACCTCTCATGAATACAGCTATCCAAGTCAAATGACTTCAATTTCTTCCTATACTGAAAAAAAGAACTTGTGAGACTGTATAAGAAAGAATCTTTACAGAAATATAATCTATTCATATGTGGAAAAAAAAATCATGCACACAAGGAACAAATCCTAAAGTTCTCCCTTAGTACATGAAACTTAAACCAAGAGCTGTTAGCTATAATCCCAGCCTTTGCTTTGATCTGAGTTCCCTCATGTCCTCAAGAGCTGGCACTAGGAATGTCGTTGGAATGGATAGCTGGTTTCTGGGACAGAGGGCAGGCAATGGTAAAGGACTTCCCATTTTGGAAGCAGCCCATATCTATGCTAGACATCAGCTACTGTGACACTGCAAGTCTATTTATAAAATCTACAAAACTAGCCCATAAAATCCTTCTGGAACCGACCTGATCACTCCTGGGCACGGCACAGAGTCATTGCCTCTGTACAAGAAGAAACATGGGACGCTATAGGATTTCTGAAGGAAGAAACAGAATGAAAGCATGACTCTGTGAAACAGATAAAGGAAAACTATAGTACTTTACAGTGATATTAAAACTGCAAGTGACAGGGACGAGGAATTCAAACTGAGGCTAATGTTTTTCAAACCTTTTTTTGGTGCTCTGACAAAAGATACTGTAAAACCAGGTTGTCCCATAATACTGAAGCTTCTGAGAATAGCAGAAGCTGTAATTTAAGAGGTCTGCTTTACTGAATGAGTAAAAGAGAAAGGTATTTGTCAAAATCTCTTTTTGCTATTAAGATATGTTTTAGATTTTTAAAAAATATCATTTTCTGACAAAGACAATGGAAAGGGCAACCTTCTGGATAAACAAAGCCTAGGCTGACCACTTTTCAAAATATGACACACAAAAAAAGCCTTGAGAAATTATGATTAAAATTATGACTTTTTTTTTTTCCCAGAAACAGGATGCTCTGTTCTTATGGCAGAATTTCACCTGAGGAACTCAAATGCAGAAATACAAACTAAGATATTATAAAGCAGTCACTACTGCTTTAATAGCTCATATTAGACTACTAATATGTCACTACTGCAGAGCTAATTTGGTAAAACGCTTTTTTTTTTTTTTGCTTAAATTGCACAGACATTCATGTGCTGACCCTGCAACCACATCCACATGAACATGAATGTGCAAGTTTGCACAGTAAATATTGTAACTGTCCCCAGTGAAATATGCTTGAATACCAGGTTAGCCCCATATGTAACCATGTAAAGGTAGGGATTTTATGGAAAGTCATTAGCAATGTCTGCCGTGGCAAGACCAACCAACAAACCAAACAAATAAACAAAACAAACCAACCAATCAACCAAAAAAAAACAAACAATACCTAATTATGTGTACACAGGTCAGTGGAATCCAACTGAGAGAGCCCTAAGTTAGCACCCAGAGATTCAGCTATATTCATCTTACAATCAACATTACTGCTCTGCTTCTCCCTGCATTGTGATGCCCTCCCAGTTTGCCTGGTCCTGACTAAGGCACCTCAGTGTGCCTGCAGCGAAGACACTTCCCATTATTCATCAGAAGAAAGTGTGCAACTCTGGAGCCAGCTGTTGTGATACTGGTATTGATTGTAGAGACTATGACTGGCAAACACTAATCTGTAGGTGTCTGAGTTACCCTGTCATTCCCATCTGCACAAACAATTTCTGTTCAGCTTATAAAGAAAGAGGCTGATAACATTATGCTGAGATTATGTGAAGATAGACATTTCTATTGAGATAAATATAAGAAGGCTATTTTAGTCTGAATCAGTGTTACTAAATTGCTGAATATGCTCTTTTAAAATATTTAATCATCTTTTGTTCAACTGAATGAACACAAGCTTTTTTATTTTCTTTTCTTTTTCATTATAAAACAGGGGACTATAACAAATGGCAGAATTTTATATTTATTTATTTGGTGTGTCTAGTACATTTGTTTTTCATATAACTATGAAAATAAAGTGAAAAATAATGACAAAAATGTCACAGTATATAAGCTATGTTCACTTTAACTGTTGGCTATCTTGACAGCTTAAATTCCTTGGGTCAAATTTACTTCAGAATGAGTGGAGACAATTCCCTTTGAAAATCAGTAGGTATTAAGTACTCCTTCTTTAGGTATAAATTTACTCTTCTTATCAAAACACTTTTGTCAATGAAGAATACACTATGTTCTACTTACATGCCAAATAAGCCTCACTTAAATAAATTCAGTTTTATGTTACATGAGCAGAACAAAATCTGACACTAACATGGGAAAATACTGAGGTTAAAAAAACAACAACTCTAATGTAAAATGATAAAGCCAATACACTGACATTCCCATAATCAAAAGCATGTAATAAGACATTTTGTGAGATCAATCAAAGCTTGAGGTGAATTTGCAAACCTGTTTTGGAACATTTTTGCAGTCAGTAAAGAGAATATGTTAAAATGTACACTGAATCTTCATGCCTAGCCCAGAACTATGAAGTACTGAAACAAATAATGTTCTGCATTTTGCTGTAAACATGCATATTTTATTTCTCTGAGTACCAAAAAGAAAATAATTTATCACAACAATAATCAACTGAGAAAAACTTGTGTTTTCTCCAGTGACATAAAAATACATACGCCACAAAAAAGTATTATTAGGAATAATCAGTGTCTGGTAAGAAGGAAATTAAAATAGTATGGAAACAATAAGGAGATGGCAGTGAAAGGCAGAGACTCTCTTGCTTTAGAGACAGACTGTGGATTGGCTCCTGAAAGCCTGAGTTAATATTTGCTAACCCTAAGCACATTCAACAGCTTCAGATTTTCTTCTTTTAGTGGGGCCACTGCTCCTTTTGTGTGAAGATAGAGCAAAGCTGTGAATAATGCCTAAGAGCAAAACTAAACCAGAAATAAATGTCTTTTTTTAATGTGAGACCTTCAACCTCAATTCCAGTTCCCCAGAGGCCAGCTTTGAGTCCTTGTCACATAATGCTCTCACAGATTTCAACTGGGGATAAAGATGGTTCTGTACAGAAACGATGAAGAAACTGCTACTGAGAAAGGTGAGCTTACAAGTCTCTTTTGACAGTGGTGAAGAGAAGTTAGAGCAATGTCATTCAGAACAACCAATTTAAATAAATGGACTGCAGTTACTAGAGATAGCAAAGGCAAACTACACAGCTCTTCAGTGAGTCAATGAAGCCTACTGCTTAGCTAAAGTGCTCAAAATTAATTAATTTTGGGTGTCATGCAAGATGTGCTGAACTGTTCAGAATGTATTTGTTTCAAATACAGAGTACTGAACCCTTTAGAAGAATTGTTCTGATCCAGTCAGAAAAAAAGGGGAGGGGGGGCAACAACAACAAAAAGAAAAAGAATAATCCACATGCAATAGATACTAAAGAAGAGCTATTTTACATGGATAAATTATGGTTCCTCTCTGCATTTTAAGGGAATTAGGGGGCAAAGGAAAAAAACACGACTTCTTATTGTCTTAGTGACTGATGAAAGTAGTGCAAGTGTTAAGGTTGCCAAGAGTTAAGGAGGAATGTCCCAGGAAAGGAATGAAATTAACCACTTCTCTGATATGGACTGAATATTTGAGCAGAATTTTGACTAACATTTAATTCCTCTTCTGAAGTAAGATTTCCACTTCTTTTAATGAGCTTTTTTTTTTTATTTATTTTTTTATTTTTTGTAATTGAAACTTGTTTAACATCCATTGTGATATTCCATAGAAACACACTTTGCATAAGTTTATAATATACATAGTCATTTTTCAAGTGTTTTATACTTAACACTGCACTACTTTCTTGCATGCCCATACCGCTCAAAAGTTAGAACTCAGCTTTTCTATTTCATAGCTAAATATGAATTTGAAAATGTACATTTATTGATATAGTATATATTTTATTGGTTTACTATGTCAGCTTACATCTTTGTATCTCTGTTGTTCTTTGTACATCTCAGCATTCATACTTTTAAGAGACCACCTCATGGTGACTTTGAAAATGCAGTGCCTCACTGTTTCCACTCTGACTGCAAACATTAAGTTGTTTTGCCTTTTCACAGAATCACAGAATCACAGAATTTCTAGGTTCGAAGAGACCTCAAGATCATTGAGTCCAACCTCTGACCTAACACTAACAGTCCCCACTAAACCATATCCCTAAGCTCTACATCTAAACGTCTTTTAAAGACTTCCAGGGATGGTTTGGTCATGAAAGAGTCAACAAAGCTGTGATAGGTTTGGTTAATGACACATGAATACAGCATGTAAAAAGAAATAAAAAATACTGGGGATATCATGTCTTATTAGAGAAGTTATGAGATATTTTGCTGGTTTACCTTCCATTATGGAAGATAACTGAATGGATGGAGCTTCCATAATTTATCAAGATTTAGAATAGATCTTTCTCAGCAAAACACAAACACATCCTTGCACACCACTCATCTGCCAAAACTACATACAAATGAAATGTAACGTATAAAGGTATAATTATTTGTTTAACTCTTTACAGAAAGATTTGTATTTTACAAGCTTGTAGCAGTCTTATGTATATTAATAGTGTCTAAGGCTGATCTGTCACTTTTCCATGAAAAAATATTTTTCTACTGCTTTAAAATACAACATTAATATCATTTAAAGTCACAGAAATTTATTTGCTGGAATCTAACAGAAAATTCTTACCTAAAACAATGTTAATAATTACTAATCTCCTTATGAATTGCTTTATTAAAGGCTTCATATTTAATTATTTACTACTTGCATTAAATTCACCAAGACTATTTTTATAAGTGAAGGATATCAGAAGAATTTATACAATATTTATCCCACTGCCTTATCAAGTAAATTAACTTGCAAAGTGCTTGTGTATGGATTAGTTAAGACTCATGTTTCTATTAACTGCACAAAAACGAGCCTGCCTTTCTTATTTTTTTTCTCCTCAATCAACAAACAAAAACACAAAAAGAATCTTACATCAACTAATATCGATTGTTGGTATATACTTTAAATCCTCTCATGAACAAATATACCTCTTTAAACTAGAAAGGTAACATTTCTCTCTTTTCTCATCCTCTTGCAGCACAAAACACTAAAATATGCTAATTCAAGTGCTTTGAAATTAACTTTATCAATGAAATAAAAATAAAGCAATACCTTCCCATAAGTTTAAATGTAATTTTGGAAATATTGGATTTGTTACTCAAAAATTTGAGATTCATGGCATAATAAGGAATACTATTGTAGAGAAGCCTTTTGCCTTTGTACATATTTATCTCTGTAGAGCTTTACAGGAAGCACCTACACAGTGCAACATAACATTAAATATAGCATAGCATATAAGATTTTACTATATTGTGTTAATGTCTTTGTCATCATATTTATTTATTTGGCATACTAATATTTTATATGAAATAACATTCAGTAGCTTCTTGCCTCAATTTTAAAATAACTTTATTTTTTCCCTCATCAGGATAAGGAAGAAACTTCTACAGGACAGTTCCTTTCTACAGGAATCCAGAAAATCTTTCATTGTATGTATAAAAGTTTAAATTCACATTCAGCTGTACGTGACAAAACAGATTTTAGACTAAAAAATCAATCTCATAACTACAGAATAAATTCAAGTTATATCTGGATTTTCAGGAAACAGTAGATTCAAGACAATGATAGTTCTAGAGAAAAGTTAGATTGCTAACACAAGTTAGAACAGTTTGTCGGAAATTCCTACTGCCTTTTAAATTGTGCTCATATTTAAAGCCATGATGTCAGGAAAAAATGCAGGAGGCAAAGGAAAAATTGTTGTAAGAACATTCATCAAAAAAAAAAAAAGTTACTCCCATATGTCATTACAAAGCTAGCAGCTGTGTTGATGAAATCACAATTCCTTTTGGTGACATCCATATGGAATGCAGAGCTTTGACATTCCCCTTCAGTAAAAGCCATGGTCTGATTTTTTACACCTAGCTGCATTAGGCAATTGTCAATTCTACTTGCTGTTTTATTCCAAAATAAAAATGTTATGGGGCGTATATCTACATGAAATACAGAATTACATTTGGTATGAAATATGTTGCAGTGGGCTTTGTTTCTGATACAAATTAAATTCTCTGTATCACAAGAAACATAGAATATAGAATCACAGAGTGATTAAAGTTGGAAGGGACTTGAGGTTTCTTGCCCCCTTCCTCCCCCCTTCCTGCTGTGAGATTAGACCAGACTGCTCAGGTCTTTATCCAGTTGGGTCTTGAAAACCTCCGAGAAAGTAGACTGCACAGTCTCTTTGGGCAATCTGCTCCAGTGCTTGGCTGTCCAAAGGATGGATTCATATAAGTTTATAACAAAATTTAGGTGTCTCAAATTTTCTCAAATTGACTTACATTTTTGCTACTCTATCTGGAATGTTTTAATTTTTATTTCTACACTCCCCACGGTGTTTTGTTTGTTGTTTTGAAGGAAAAGTCATGACAACTTTGGGAGTATCTTGAGAAGGGAGACCTGCTTGCTTTATGCTTCTCATGGATCTTGTGATCTCTTAAGGGATTTTTTACGAATTCCACTTGGTGATTCTTCAAGTCTGAAAATGGCCTTTTTGCATTGCACAAAAAAGAAATTTGAAATTATGAAGATCCTTATTGCACAGAAAACATGATAGAGAAAATTCTTATAGCCAATGTGCAAAAATAAATTACTACACAAGTCATACTAGACAGCCATGATCATTGTTTCTGATTTAATTAATCTGTAGATTAGCATATGACAAAGTCAGTGGAAACAAAAAGTGGAAATAAAGTCAGAGGTGATGCTTCCACCCTATGAATGCCTACAGCATTTTGAAATACTAAGAAAAATCAGGGAAAAAAAATAATGAGGGAAGTGGGAGAAACAGGAAATACTAAGGAGAAGCAACATACAATTTTAATACAGGGCTTATATATGGGACGTCACGTATATCAAAATAGAATCACATATGGACCAGGTTGCTGCACAGGTTTTCAAATTTTGTGCCTATCTACACTAGCTATTTCTTACTGCCATTTATATGGAAACAAGGTGAGTACATGCCCTTTTTATTTAAGCTGTATAGTTTATGTGATATCATAAAATGGTACAGTGAACAAATAGATATTAAAGTAGAAGAAATAAATGGCAACAGACTGTACCTATTGCGTAGCCTACCAGCTTTCCTTAATTGCCCAACTGCCATCGCAAAAGAAGTAAGACTGCTAGAATTTCCATTTTAAATTACATTAGGCTAATGAAGGCAACTGGAAGCACCTGTCAGTAGTAACAAATACTAATGTACCAACAGTAAAGACAATAGGATTTTTAAAAGTATATTATTCTTCACATTCTCTGTTTTATGATATATGCAAATCACCTCAGCAAGGATTGAGATTGCCAGGGCTGTAGGTGTGCTAGTAGGCTATAACTGTCCTGAATATCCTCACCTGGGACCTCCACCCACACCTCTGCCCAGGGGCATGGGGGCCCATTTAAGCTCAGGATGGGGCTATGCTGTTGTGCTGTATGGAGCCTTGTTGCTGGCTAGAGTTGTTGGGTAGCCCCCAAGCTTGGCTTGCTGCTGCTAAGAGACCTTGTTGGCAGCTCTGCCTGCTATGTTTAGATCCTTGTGAAGCTGAGCTCCACTGGTAAGAATTACAGGTCTGTGCTGGGTTGCTGCTTGGCTGCTGGCTTGTCCCACTTGTGGAGCTGCATTGCTCTTGTTGCTCCCTGGCAGAGATGAAGATCTAAAATCTCTAAGTATCACTGGCAGAGCCTTCCAGGCTGCAGGTGGGAAGGGTGGAGAAGCTGGCACTCCAGGGAAGTGTGCAAATAGGCTGGAGCCTTATAGCTCTTATTCTAAGTAGCAATGTCAGCTGTAGCATGACTTGAAATATAGTGTTCTCACTGAATTCTGGAATAAAAGATAATTGCTCAGAGCATCTTCTGACACCTACTTTTTTTTTGTGTGTGTGTGTGTGACAACTGAAATGTTTGAGGCTTTTAATTACTAGTAAAAGCAGTATTCAGTAGTGTAAAATAAATACCAAACAAACAAACAAACAAAAAAAAAAAAAACTAGGAAGTATCCACTTGCAGAATACCTGGACAGTTAAGTGTTTGTCAAACCCCAGTTCCACTTACTTTAAAACACTCAGCAAGGTTTGAATTCCACAATGAGAGCATTTGAGCCTTGACTACTTAGCTCCTTCATAAGATCTGCTACTGTTGCTCTGTCAATGTCATGTAGTGGTGGGAAGCTTAGTGCAGAGAGGTTACAAGAACTTTTGTCATGCATCTCCCCTGACTTTGGTCTTGGGAGACTGAGACAACATAGCAGCAGGAATGCCGAGAGCCAGCGTATGCAAGCATTCCCTTCATCGTTAACATTGTTGGACCAGCACTGTGTGATGATAGTGAATGTTAAGAGACTATAAGTATGTCAAGAATTCACAGAGCAGACAGACTTGAAGCTGCCTTAGGATTTGGACATTTGTTATTGGGAAGGCTTGAAAATTAAAGCGACAGCTGATTTTCTACAGAAGAACTAAGCATTAGCAGTCAAAATTTATTTCATACCTTGCTTCAAAGTACCTACTGATTGAATGGCAAAAATGGCTCTCTTCATAAAAGCAGAAATAAAATCAACTTTTTTTTTGGTAGTAGTAGCGTAGTTCTACTGGTTAAGAATATTTATGTAAATATAAATCTTCTGCATTTATGCTTAGGCTTGTTGCTTTGTCAATAACACCTACCTCTTCCTAGTACTTAGTATACATGTATATGGCAGTAATGACTTACTACCCTAAATTAGAGATGCTGTCTTGTAGAGAGAATGGGTATAGCATTTTGGCTAAGACTCTGTCTCAGTCTTCCACAGAGACGGCCTCCTGCAAGATGCTTACTTGTCTGTACTGCTCCCTCAACAAGGTTGCGCAGAAATAGCTTACTGGTTTGTGTAATAGATGCAATAAGCCTGTCAGCTACTGGAAATCAGGACACTTGCCACGCATTTTGATACATGCATACCATGTCTAACTATTATGTAGGATGCATATTACACTTAAAATTCAAATCTATTTCTAAATGAAAATATTCCAGCTACCTGTGATGTAGTTTTACCCATTCGTTCACGTTATAAATACAATTGTAGGATTTTAGTCTTACACCATTTGATTCCCTTTTTTTTGATATGGTGCAAATCATTTCACTGAATGGATTTCATTCAGGGAACTGAATGGATTCCCTGATGACTGTGTTTTAGAAGCCTTTATTGACTGTTTTATATAGTGAAGAAAACAACGCACAATCAGTGTTAAATCATGATATAAAAAAAACCTATAAAATTGACTGCTGTGTTTTTCAAATGACATTTAAATCCTGATTTATTTCCATGAATGAAACCCGTCTGGGATTCAGGCTGAGACAGGTGTGTAGTTACAACTGTAGTTATTTAACTACACAAACTTGCACCTACACTTGCCCAATGAAGTCCCAGTTTCAGAGCCCAAATGTTGCTTGGCAGCCACAAAAATTGACAATTTTTACCCTGCCTTTTAGATATCAGGGCTAACATAAGGAGAGATGTACAGAAGCTTAAAAGCTAATATATGTTCTCACACAATTATTTCACTCATACTGTAAGAAAAAAAGCGTAAGTAGGAAAAAAAAAGCTGGCATTGAAAATGGGAAGTAATACATATTTATGGCAATGTGTAGGTTATAAATGTCTCCTAAAGCCTTAATATTGATGGTCCAAATGAATTAAAAATTTTCCATTTGTATCTACAGTAGCGGTAACATGTGCCTTCTTAGGTGCTGTGAAAGAACGAATTTACAAACAAGAAATCCTCTTACCAACAACATGATCTCTGTAGTAACTGTGTTAATTTACAGGCAGGAAATCCATTTTAAGTGGCATTAAAACTGAGAGTATATTTCTCTAATATAAGCATCAAAAACATTTTTGGAGATGTAGCAATTGTCTTAAGTACCAAGATCACAGGAAGTTTAAAGATGAGGTCATATATATGGAAAACCCTGATGCTTTGAGCAATAAAGTGTTTAATGTAGCTGATGAAAGTAATGTTTTCTTTATAGTGATGGTATGTACTCAGTACAGGCCCATCATTGGTTCATTATTATCAGATTGAATGGTGTTTTATAGTTCTTAAAATTGAACGATCTAGATGTTAATTACCAATATTTCTTCCATGGTATATTTATTTTTTTCTAAATTATTGTGACAAATTCTGAATTTTTTTCTGTGCAAATAACTTCATTTCAGGTAGTCGAGGCTTGATCTAAAGCAATGGAATACCTATGCTATTAAAAACATTGCCCCCATTAGCATGTTTAATACTACTGAATTTTTCAAGTTGCTTTTCACCTCTTTATTCTGTCTATTGTAAAATGATCTGGCTTAAAGTAAAGATTGCTTGCTTAGTATGAGCCACAGACTTCTGGTAAGTTATTAGTGCCTATAAGATATGAAGATAATCATTAACAAGCCACAAACAGTGACTTTCTATCTTAGAGAAAGACAGAAAAAGTCAAAGATTAAGAGGACAAAGAAAAAGAAAAACTAAAAGGATGAGCATTTATACTGGCAAGACATAGCATGCTACTTTATTGAAATTCCATGTTTTTTCCTGCAAGAACTGTATATGGTTCAGTTTTTAGAACTTAATTTCACAAAAATAAGAACTGCATCTTGTTCTTACTTTTTTGGCTTGAGAAATCTACACTGGTGAATGGCAGTTTCTGTTGAGCCCAGGTTCATATCAGTGGATCTTGCATAATACACATGCAATGCAGTTCTTTGGTACCAGACACTGAGGTGCTGTTATGAAAGCATGCATGAATTCACAAACATTTGATACATGAACACTGTTTAGCTTGTGGTCTTGCCATCTGTAGTTCAAGGTTAATACCTTTTTATATTGAAGCTCACAATGCAACTGAGTGTCAATTAGCTGTAATGATATCATAGATAGGACATTCACATGAGAAATAATTGAAAACTGTGGCTTTACTTACATAGAGACTGTCTTCAAATTTAGTCAGTCCAAGGTTTTAAAAAACAAACCTCACTGTGGAGTGTCACAAAAAGTTTTAACGAGACTTTTTTGCTGTGTTCTTGCCCTCACTGTTATTCTCCCCCACAGTCCACTGTACTATACTGTGTCTTCTGCACTCTATCTGTATTCTGTGCAATAGACTGAGACTGTTCGGACTGCTTCTTGTCCCCATTTAAATCAATAACAAAACTCCACTTTGAAGCTTGGGATGTTTTCCTAGTTTTAACATATTTTTTTTTTAGCCCTTCTAGTTATAAAACTATTATAAGGTCTACTGAAACAGCAAAATAATCTTTTAATATGGTAATGAACAGAGATGCCTAGTTTTTAAATGTGAGGAATTCCGCAAGAGACCCCAGTTACCATACAGCATATTTTCTTAATAGAAAGCAGGCTCTGAGACTGTCTATGGCAAGGCCAATTGATTTAACCTCAGAGATCAGACACACTCTTTAAAGCTTTTCCTCTTCAGTGTACCTAAGAAGAGCTACTTGAAAGGATGAGTGAGTTCTGGTCTCATCTCTATGAACTATTATGGCTAAAATCTGGGTTTATGGAAAACAAGTATAACATTATGTTCCTAGCTGCAGTAGCACAGCATTAGTTACCTGTTCTTTTGATGTCATTATGTGAAAGCTCTTAAGTTATGGAAGTAACTGTAAACAACAATGTCCAAAGATAGCTGGATTTTTAAAAATAAATGCAATGCATCTATAGTTCTTTTTCTTTCAAAGGAGCACAAACATATAGGCCTACTGTTAAACCTATTGGCAAATACCTACTTACTCAGTTGTTAAGGAGAGTTCTGCCATACAGTCACTTTTCTGACAACCCACAAATAATTGCTTAGATAACAATTTTCCAAAAAAATTGACAAGAGCTTTTATACACTATTACAAAAAGCAACAATTTCCCCTACTGTAGCAAACAGGAACCTGACAAAAATACTACAAATGGAGTTAGCAAAAGTGAGGATTGCTGCCATAGAACTTTTTTTTTTTCCCAAGGCACTAATGAAGTCAGAATGTAATCTTCAACCATGCAATAAAATGCTCTAACGTTTATGAATACACCTAAATAAACTGAAGCAGAGCTTTATCTGATAATCAGAAACTGTACACATTGTTTCACTCTGCTTCTGCATTGAAACTGATAGGTATTGATGTAGACGGCCATTAAACAAAATATCAGGAGAGGAGAACGTGAGTTATTTCACCTATCTGACCTTTGCCAAGCAAGTTAGAATTATACATTTGAAGGTAAGCCTTCAACTGTTTACACAGCAATACATTTTCAGGAAGAAGGGGCAGGGGAACAACTTGCCAGAATACAAGCCAAATAAGCATATATGTTTCCATTCATATCTTGAATTTTTGTATGTGTGCTTGAGCTAGCAAGTAGTGGGTAGTCTAGCAGAGTCGGTAAGCTGGAGCTAATGGTTTGAGATGCTGTGCCAGCCATGAGCTTTATAAAGCTGCAGATGTCTTCACCTGTACAAAGCTTGACAAAGTGTTTTAACAAAACAGACCCTCAGAACTCAGAGATTCTCCATCTCCACAAACTTGTTTCAGTAAGTCCAGAAAAAAAGGAAAAAGTGGTGGGCATCTCATACCTATAAAAGGCATGAAAAAATATAGTCCAATGTTTTTGAAACAGAATGGGGTAATAGAGACAATGTACATGAAATTAGTTTAAAGGGAGAAATTTGGTTAGTAAATCACAAAGAAGCTTTAATAAATAAGGAATGTGGTTTATTGTGTCTGACAAAGCAGAAAGAGAAATGCAGCCTATCCCTTAGTCCCACATTTTAAACTATGCATGTTATGATTACAGCCATAAACAACGGATGCAGTGTCTGTACATCGGAAAACAAATAATAGTTCATTTTTTTAGGAACTATCTGTAGGAAGAACATTCAATTTAGTCAACGAGGGAGCTGGAATAACCTCTTGTGTGTCCCAATGACTATACTTTAGTATTTAGCAGAAGGAATGCTTTTGTTCTTTGTGTGCTTTTTCTCTTCTATCTTATCTTTTTTTTTTCTTAAGTGTGGAATGCTTCTGTTCTTGCACCTGGTCATACAAACAGTACCCCACTATTTTTACTCTAACCCATGGCACTCTTTTTCAGGCAGCTTCAATTGCTGTGTTCTCTGACCAAGAAGACAAGCTTCTGACCTCTGCCACTAATGCCAATAGGCAATCAGACTACATATAATGCTGCAAGTAACGATTTACTCTACTGCCTATAATCAAAAATCGTACAGCAGTCCCATCCTGAAATTCAGCACACTGACTTTATAATAAGTATGAGATGGCTACTGAATTAATGTGGGAACTTGTATTATGTTTTTTTTTTTTTTTTTTTTTCTTTCCGAAAACCTCAACCTATTATCAGAACATCCAACGTATGTAAAAATATTAGATGGCTTTTGAACACTTCTGAAATTTTCACTGGTTAACTAAAGAAAAGATTTCCTTAGAGTAAGTTCCATCATCATCACAAATATTTTTCCTGCTTTACAGAAGATAAACATTTTGAAAGAAGGAAAAGATGGAATAAGAACTTGTGTGTCTAGGGCCCGAATGTCTTTATGTATTCTGACAATTCCTATTCAGTTTACAGACAGGTTCAGAGGTGAAAACAATTGCTCAGTACTGAAAAGCTGGAAAAAATAACACTTCCAAATTAAAATGTTAGTCAAACTGAGTATTGATGTTGACATTGATTAAGCCACCAGCTTTAAAGAAAATTTTCAGATCTTCAAGTTTTGTGAAAGTACTGGTATTCCAGCAGGATCAACCCCATGGGGTATGTTTGTTCCTCTCTGCCTGAATATACTGTTATGCCTAAGTAAACTATTATGTTTAAGCATCCTCTTCATATACCATCAAGTTAAGGTTGTTATAGACGTCTTATGCTTCCCAGTTTCAAAATTGGACTTCAATAAGGGGGAAAGAAGTAGAGGGAGGAACAAATTGGAATGATGTTTGATGGGAAGTTGTTTTTTGTTGATAATGGCCTAAGAATACACTCTCATAAGGATCCCTTTTTTGTGTTTCCAGAATCCTGTTGTGCTCCTGCCTAAATATAAGTACCTAGTGGCCTAATGTTCTTCTGTTATTGAAACATAACAGCACTGAAAGTGTGATGTAATCTCTGAAGGCTGGAAAAACAAAGGAAAGACACTTTTTTAGATTGTTTTCTCATTCTGCTATACTGGAAAACACCAGAATGATGTTGCTAAGTATCTTGATCCAGTAGACCAAGATTTTTTCTTGTCTCTAATATATCTAAACATTACATCTACCTAATTGTTCTAAAGAAATACGTATTTTTCAAGGTAACTACACTATTATTCTGATATTGCACTACTTGGGATATTTATTTCTCTTCAAAGTATAGCAGACAAAAATTATTTATGAACCACAGCCTGTGCTATGTTTCTTGCTGTTTTTGCCTCGACCTCAGTAGTACTTAGTAGTCAGGTATCAACTAATTTCACTGTGATCTCTGGTTATTCAGGCCTCCAGAAAATTACATTTCATGTCATTTGTATTGAAAACATACATAGAATTTCCGGATGTTGATGCACAGGTAACAACTTTGCAGGGCAAAATGTAGAACTTCTGATTTTCAGATGTTCATCTGGTGGCAAGATTTAGCTCTGGAAGTAAGCACTTCACATTACGAGGTATAATTACTAAGCTGCCAACCTATCTACTTATTAGAATGACAATTAGTGTGCTACCTTTTGTGCTAGTTGTGTTTAGCACTTGAAGGAATATAGGGTCTATGCTGACCACACAAATACTAAGATGTGAGTTAGACTCTCTATTCAGTTCCATTTAGTGTTTTTGATACTACAACAATTACATAGAGGAAAAATAAAACTTCCTTGCAGAAATCTTAATATACAGTGCCGCAGTATGAAAAATAGAAGAGAATAATATTCTAAAACTGCCATTAAGAACTTGAACCCAACTGAAAAGAAACTCTGGCTCAGTATAACAGCATACTGAATAATCACTTCTTCAAACATCCAAGTGATCAACTTTTATTCTTCTGTAATCTTCTTTATTTGTTCCTGTTCCATACAAGACAACCCACGTTTTACACGTAACACAATGTCTGTTTATGGATTTACATTGCATTAAGAAAAGGGAAGTAATTATCTACTGTCATATGCCCCATCAAAATTAGTCAGTTCATTTGGTTGGTTTTAGCTATACAACAGCTAAAATATATATACAGCTATACAGAAAAATAGGAAATCAATTGAATTGCTAATATGCTTTGATCTAATATGTGTTTTGATTAAACTGGGGTAACATACTGTAATTCAATCCACAGATTTCATTAAAAAAAAAAAAAAGCCACCTTTCTAAACTGTGGCTTCCATTTGAGATGTTGGGGTATAAATCCTTTAAGTAGGGAAGACCAAAATCAACTGTAATTCAGTTTTCAGATAAAACAAATACATTTTTGTCTGAAAAGATTAACATATTCATTTTTCCTGCCATTTATCTTAAACATTGTCATTCTGTTTATCTTACTAGACATTCTGTCATTGTAAATAACTGTAAGACTTTCAGACTTCTAGCACTACAAAAGAGATGTTCCTGCGGTAAATTGCAAACACCATCTAAAAGCACAGGATGTACTATTTCAGGCTACTATGAAATAAAATTACTCCATATTGTACCTGTTGCTTTTAGGAGAAATTTAGGGTGGTAGATGTAATAACAACAGAATAATTTAGTGGTTGGAGTACATAAAAGATGTATTCTTGGCACTGTCAGTTAGGTGGGTATATTTATCTCAGACTCAATTCCTTCATACAACTCTTGAAGTAGGTCAATATTACCTTTTAAAAACAGTTAGAGATCATCCACTGAAATACCGTAATAACTTCAGATGATTATATTACAATCATCACAAGTTCACAGTAAGAAGTGATAAAACAGCTCTGATATCCATTATTAAGAAAAAAAAAAAAAGCTATAAAGGCTGTAAATAACAAATATTAATGCTATCATCTTCTGAACTAAAGTTTGGCCAAACGGTTGAGCTGGACAGTTTATTATGAACTTCTAGATGTATGTACAGTTGCTCTTGAGCCTTATGGGAGGCCAAGCATATTTAGAGACACAGGGTGTTCTCCATAGTATAGGTGAGCTCTGTTTTCTTACTTGTTTTCTTCCAGAGAAGAAAAAAAACCACAACACAGTTCTCCCCCTTCAAACCCTCACATGCACAACTGCTAGACAGCTGTTTAGCAGTTGTTTACTTCCATTTTTCATACTGAACAGAGCTATTTCATTTCTTTCTTCTTCTTCCTCTGTTCATCTGTGTTCTTCCACCTGCTAATGGTAGAATTAAACTTTAGACTGTGAGGTCTTTTGGGCAGCGAGTGTATCTTTCTAACGTTTGCCCTGTAGGGCCAAAGGAGTCTATGGATCTCAAACCCTACAATGGAGAGCATTTATCTTCCTGGCTTGGATATAGGATTTTCTTTCCACCAGGCTTGAAAGAACCTGCAGGAAGGAGTCAACCTGAACAAAATCAAATCAGCAGCCTCTAGTCACTGATTACATCAGATTATTTGCTATTGTTTTGATTGACTCTCCTTGGCCTCTTCTGATCTACTGTTTATTCCAGTCTTTTTTATTTTTTTTGTTTCATCTCACATTCTCCTATATGGATTTTTCTCTTGCCTTTTTTTTTTTTCTTTGAATGAAATATTATGTGAAAATACTTAAATTCAAAGTAAAGCTTTGTACCTTTGGCTTCATGGGCAATGTATTTCTCCACTGCAAAGATGCTAGTACTTACTTATGGAGTATCAAAAAGTGCAGTGAGAGAAAGAGTATTTGTATTGATTTTGTCATGTTAGAAAAAAATGTTGAAAAATTGCCAGAGGTACAGCAAAGAATCCCAAGGCATGAAGGCCTAAGAAAACACCATACAATATGAAACTTCAGGAGTTCAACATGTTTTATCTGTTTAGAAAGAAAACTGAGAAGTATGCATTACAGTGCATAAATATCTTTGTGGGAAGGAAATATAATCTACTAAAGAGCTCTTTGATCTTACAAAGAGGGATGTCACTAGAACAAGATGCTAAGCACCAAATTCAAATTGCAAACTCATGCAATTTCAACAGTAAGAATATCTGATCTCTACAGCCAAGCAGGCTTCAAATATGGCATGGATGCCTTTGTTGAAGCAAAAATTCAGCCAACATTTGAGCTTTCTCATTTTCAATAAGAAATGCATTTTATTCAAACACAAGTTAGCCTACAAGACAGCTGATGGTTTGCTTATCTCTTTGGCTTTGAAATCTATGAATCTTATCATATTCAGCAACTCACTGTCATCATTTCTACCAAACTTGCCTGTATGATCTTCTCCTGATTGCATAGTTAGTAACAGAAGAGTCTTTTGAAATACTGAATTAAAATATCAGTAACTCTTCTGAAATCTCAAAACCTATTTCCAAATTTGTGGCATAGTAGAAAGATTATCTACTTTATATTGCTTAGTAACTATAGAACTTACAAAGACTTATTAGTTTATAAAGTTTGTTGCTTTTTAAGGTTTTGGGGTCTAGGACTATTCAACTGTTAGCAAAGTGATCTTTTATTTCACCTCATATGCACAATTACAAATTTTGTTGTGCAATTCAACAAAACTGAGAGCTATTGATCAAGATGTTTTCTGGCTGTTTGGTGCATCTCTCCCACATCAAACAAACAACAAAACCAACCAACCAAAAATCAGTCTACAGCTGTTCTAATTTACAACCAGGGCTGAAGCATAGGCCAAACACTGCTCGAGTACTGCCCATACTGTTTAATTGTTAGCATGCATCCAGGCACAAATCCTGAGCCACTAGACAACCAGATCTGGATACTTTATCTGCTAATATGGATATAAGCATAGAATATAAGGCTATAAGTTAATTCTTCCCCCTAAGAACTGGCTTAAAAAGTCTACTGGATCTATCTAGTCCTACCTTAAAGACTATTGTGAAGTTTTTAACATGATACGTAAATTGTTCAAGGACATAACAATTACACTTGCAACCAGAGCTTAATGCAAAGCTTTAAGCTAACACCTTTTATCTTTGGAAACAGTAGTATTTTTCTGTTGGCAAAATTAAGATCTATTAAGAGTTGCTATATATATATTTTAAAGTTTTGGTCATGAGTAGCTATCTTTGTCAGATGATTAAGTTTTCATTCAACAACTTGCATAGTATACAAATGACTGAACTGAAGCCTCTAAGCTTCAAGTTTGAGAGCATCTTTTCTCATCCTAGAACACTCCAAAATCTTTCCAATACTTCACATTCTTCTTGAAGTGTGAATATCAGATTTGAGCACAGCACAGTCACAACACTTTATAGTGGTATGTGCACAGACATCATCTATTTCTACTTGATAGTCTTCTTGTAAACATTGTATTATCTCATTTAACCGTAACACTGTACTACGAATTCCTGTTCAGGCAGTTATCTTCAATGACCTTGTGTTCTTTACAAGTCACTGTTTTCAAAGACAATCTCTGTTATGTAGTAAGTACAAAGTGTATACTTGGTTTCTGGGTTTACTATTTTGCACCTAGCTACCTTAAAACAAATGTATTTCCCTATGATCTGTTGATTAGGGTAATTTTGACTAACATTACCAGACAATGTGATCACCAAAGGTTTTATAACACTACTTGTATCATCAGTCTAAACATTGACTAAAATCTAGCCAGGAATTGATTCCCTGAGAGATCCTTCTGTTTGTATCTTGCCACACATATCTGCATTTTGACATATAACAGTGACCAGTCCTTAATACTTCTAGTATATGTCTGATTTATTCCACATACTGTGCTTTTAACCTAAATGCCGTATATTGCTAAAACAAATTAATTGAAAGATCCATATGTAATATGTTAATATGCCTCATTAAATAGCCTGTTCACAATGGAAATGCTGTGGATATTTAACATCAGCTTAGCAGTTTTAAATTAATTGGGACAGTTTCACTTTCCTGTTTATTTCATTTCATATTTGTCAAAATAATATCCCCATGGAATTAGATATTATACATAGTAATTAGCATTACTGTGGATATGCTAGTTGTAAATTCATAGTTACAGCTGTATTGTAGATGTGCTTAAAATTAATTCTGTTGATTTTGATTTTTTGTTATATGTATTCTGTCCAAACTCAGTCAATTATTATTGGACTGAATATTTGTGAATGTTTTCTGCAATTCAGATGAAAGATTCATAATTAGATGTGTTATTAAATGTCTGAATAATATAACAGTGACATCATGTTTCTTTGGGTTTCTCTAGTTTTAAACTCTTAAAAATAAATGCGTTACTTTCAATATATGTAAGCATTCACTTAAAATCTCTAGGATAGGCTGTGTGTTTAATTAATGGTGTAAGGTATTTCTACACTTTTTATCTGTATTTTTCTCCTCACTTTAAAACATGTGAGAAGACTTACAGATTTACACATCCTGCATTTGCAGCCAAAGCCCATGCTATACCTTTATTCCCACTAGCTTCACATGTTCCAGTCCCCTTTGCTACTTCTCTTGCTCACTTGCCCTTAGTCTGGTCCCCAGTTCTTAAAGGTGTCGTATGCTAGGAGATGCATAGAGTGATACATATACACACCTGTATATATATCACAACAAGCGTTCTTCTGTAAATTTGGATTTCTTACTTGAACTTATACATGCTAATATAAGAATGACTTTTGTGTTAAAAGTTAATGATAGCTAAGTTGGTGAACAGACCATAGCTCAGGATGCTCTGTTTTTTTTAATGCTTGCGTTTAGAAATTGATAGAAGCAGCCTCAGCCACATATTAACGCATCTTCTGTAGTTGTAGCAATCATAAAATAAACTAGAATGTAAATTTGGTCATTGATTCTTCCTTTTGCCTAATGTTTGCAGTAGAATTCAAAGGATGGAGAGATGATCCTACTCTCTAGTGGCTGAAGTTCAATAAAAATGTAATAAAACACTGTTATAGCAAACTTTTCATAGTGAAATTTCTCGTAAAGTCTCATTTTATTCAATATGTTCTAATACAGCCAAGGTAATGTTGGAGAGAATTAAGCTCTCATAGTATTAAAGGATTGTAAGAGTACACCATATTTGTTACATTTTAATTTAAATGAAGACATCATCTTCTATTTTGTACTGATTTAAGCATATACACTTGAAACATATCATCCTTAAATCAATAATGAACAGCATGTGATCACCTACACTTGTATTCTGATAAATTCATCTGCATTGTGTGTGTGGAATGGAAATTAAGAGAATGTGTTGTGACATACTGAGCTGATGGAATGATGTTTTTATTTGATAGCGCACCATTCCTTTCAGTGCAAGATTTTGATAATTTTCTTGAGTGACCAGGGAGCCCTGAAGGTATATCAGCTAACACGGAGTTTTAAACCTGTAATTCAGCAGGTAGAACTGGTTTTCCAGCTCTGGGAGCCAAATCAAAACATCTCAGTTTCTCTAATAGCTTTTCAAAGTAGTTTCTTGATAGTAGTAGAATACTGTTGTCCAAGTCTTGTGTTTGCAACATTTTTTAACACAGAACACAGCTCTGCAATAGGTAAGCAAATTTAAGCTCCAAAAATATTTATTGTCCTCTATAATGTCATAATTTTCACATACATATACTCTTCAGTTGCCTGTCATGTTAACAAGTGTTAGAAAATTCTTTATAGAAGGCAGTAAATCCATTCTCTACCCACATTTTGTTCACGTGAAAATGTGGAGTTTTTTTCCCCAAACATTCTTCTTTCAATAACAAAAAATAAATAACTAAAGACAATAAAATAATTGCAGAAGGCCAGATCCTAACAATAGCAAATGTCAACTGTATGCCTCACATACAAGATTTGGCAAAGAGACTTGTAGAGAGAAAACTGAGTTTCAATGAAGTAAACAGCAAACTCCCTGCTAG